TTCATGTAGCAGCCCCTCTCTGGATCACTGTCTTCCCCTTGCAATTGCTAGGGGGGATCTAATTCTTTGTTCTTCTCACTGATAACCTGATGAGGCTGATCAGCTGGCCTGTGGGGAAATGGAGTAGAGAGTGGGGCTCTCAGCAGCTCCGTGCACCGTTTAAGATGCAGCCAAAGTACATATGAAGCCCACAGTAAACAGGAAAGTATTACAAAAGAGTTCAGTTTTGCATGCAAAAGATCTTGGGATCAATCTGTGACATAGTCATGTAAAGGTCTCTTATACTCAAGGGAGCAACTAACTGTGAATGGAAAATACTGGAACAGATGGACAAACGATCTGGCATTGTGTAAGTTAAATTTCCTGTGTGTGTACTCTGTACTTATTTTCTACCTACAACCAAACTTATTTCTTCTGAGTCTTCTGACTCAGTTTTAGGCAATTTTATGTAATTAAGATTTGATTAACAGCACATATTTCCTGATGCGTATGTAATTTCTCTGATCAATAACAATTAAGAACTTTGAAGGGGCAAAACTAAAAAATTTGATCACTCTTTTAAAAATGTGTTTGGAGACAACTTGACATAAGCTCTACTATTTAGAGGGGACTCAAACTGTCTTTATTGACTCAGGCCTTTCAATGGTATTGTCTTAGTTCTGTTTTATATTTGTTGTGCTTTTAATACTGGTTTTATAGATACTGTACTGTATCTTTCCAAACCACAGAGAGCCATTATGTGACTGAATGACATATAAATTGTTTAAATTCTATATTACTCAAGAGTGAGTCCTGGCTAAAATATATGTGCTGATTTTAAAGTAATAATTTTTAAAGATTTCAATGACTAGTACATTTTTATGGACAGAACATCTAAACATATATATTTAAAAATACATTTAATTGATTTCAGAAGTGCTTAGTATCTTACTCTTACATTTGAAATTTTAAAACTAAGCATTTACAGCTTCTAGCAATAGCAGAATAGTAGTTACATTTCTCCTTAATATACAATTTTGACACAACTCATTAAAGAATGAATATCTCCATCCATCCATCCCCCAGAAGAAAGAGGACCTCCTTCAATAAGAAGTTGGTAATACAGTGTTTCACTTATTGGTTAAACTGTTACATACACTATTATTTAAAAGCACATCCATTTATATTAATAATTAAAGATTTTGCTCTGAGTGTTCAGGGCAGAAAGGAAAATTAGAGATAAAAATACACAATTTCAGTGCTTATAACTGCAATGTGACAGTGCAAATCTAAATACATGTAGTATTAAACTACAGAGCAAAGTAGACATGAAGCGGGGGTTGGGTACCCCTATAAAATTATGGGAGGGGGAATATTTAAAACTCTGCACAGCTAAACAGGCAAGAGAACCCTTCACCAATTAGACCAGTATTTTAAAGCCTTCCCTGCAGCAGATTCTCTGATCAGAAGTAAACCCCACTGGAGAGAATTGTATTTTTTCTCATGGTAAACACATCTATTGTGGCTTTAAAACAAATATCATAGATGGAGAATCTGAAAGATAGCATTCATTTCCAACCCCCAAGCTGCTACATCTTATATCAGCTCCATGGCCTGCCTTTAAAAGAAGTCAGAAAAATATAGGTTTGCTTTCATTGCCATTACAACTTACTCTGTTCTACAGCTTTATAATTTTAAAATAATTTCCTTCTATAAGAATCTATACAGGACTGAATCTTTGTCCATGATCTGAAAATGCCTTAAAATGAAAATGTTTAATGCCAATATCATGTGAATTCACTCTGAACTGCTAGAAGTAAATATTGTGAAGTGGTGCAATACAGAGTATAGCCTTGAACTGAAGAAGTTGAGTTTTAGATATTCATCAAATACCACATATTAAAAAATAAATATATTCTACTCCAGTTTCCATCAAGAAATGGCTTGACTCATTTATGAGAACAGATTATAAAAACAGTTATCCTGGATCAGGTCAAGACCCGTTTTACACCATTATTTTGTTTCTTACAGGGGCCAGTCAAATGCCTCTAGGAGGACTGTAAACAGGAGAACTGTTTGAACCTGTAGCTGATATTTGGAAGGACACTGCTTTCCACCAAGAAGTAAGACTTATTCAGCATATCTTGTGGTAGTTAATGCCACAGGTTAATCATTCTTTTGCCTGTTTCATGTACATCCATACATCCATACATCTCTCTCTTTCACATCCATCCATCCATCCATCCATACATCTCTTTCTCTCTTTCACATACATCCATACATCCATACATCTCTCTCTTTCAATAATTCCCCTTGCCATGTTACCATTTTTCCCAAGCTAAAGAGTCTCAACCATTCTAGCCTTTTCTTGTACGGAAAGTATTCAATTCCCTCTGATTATTTTGGTTGGCCTTTCTATATTTTTCCCTGCTGTGTTACATCCTTTTTCAAATGTGATGACCAGAACCAGAGGTAGATATATTGTAGATTTCTATAACAGCATTATAGGTTTTTTATTATTATTATTTTCAGTTCCTTTTGTAATGATCTCTTGTTGGAGTTTGCCTTCTTCCTGAAGTTTGCTGACTCGGTTTTACATTCTGGAAAACATTCTATTGTTGAAATCTGAAATAATCTCCAGACCCTGTGAAGTGATTTGGCCCTCAGTCCCTTCAGTTCTGAGAAGCTTTCCCTTTTCTACTAAAATGTGAATATGATGGACACTGCTGGCAGTTTCTCATTTGCATGAATGCTAAGGGCAATAGTGTTATGATCCCTGTTTCCTATTGATTTAATAAGAGTTATATCCTACACCAGACCACTGTCATGAAGGATAAAGTCTTGAGTTGCCTCTCCTCCAACTAATTCCAAGACCAATGGTCCTGTGGTACAATCATTTAGGGTATCTAAAAATCTGGTTTCTTTGTCATGGCCTGAGCATGAATATATACAGCATAAATAAAACCTTTGAATATTACAAGAAGGTTTTTTTGGCATGCCTCTGATTTCTTTCCACAACTTAAGATCACCTTCATTATTTTGTTCAGATGGGCAACAGCATACCCCTAGATCTAATTTATATGTGTTCCCAGATTTTGCCAGCCATAGTGATTTGATGGAAGAACCTGGTCTTCCAATGCTATCTAGTGTATTACATTTTATATCTCCTGGATATAAAGAGCAACTTCTCTGTGAGTGTGCTTTCCCACTCCTTTCTAAAAAGTTGGTATCCAAGAATTCTCTCCATTCCACCAGGTTTCCATTGTATCTATTATATGCATGTTCTTTGTCTCCCACCTTGGTTCAGAGACCTCTAGTACTGGCACAGAAACATGTATTTCATTCCATATTCCATTTCAAAAGTTGCTGGTGTGACTCTTTTTCAAAGCCTTTTTGTTTCTCTTTCATCTCTTGGCTAACATCAACCTAGTTCTAACACTGATCCTGAAATACTTACATCCTTCCAAACTGGATACTACCCAGCAGCTTTTTGTCTATCTCCAAGGATTTAGTTTAAAACTTGTTCTACCACCTTTTTTATATTATGCACCAGAAGCCTGGTTTCCTATTGGTTAAAGTGGAGCCAGTCTCCCTTCTGCAGGATTCCTCATTGCTAGCAAACCTAAATTTCTTTATTGGCATGATCATGTCATCCACATCCCTGAGCTCTGTCTGTCTAGCCGGCCCTGTGCATGGAAAGTGGTAGCCTTTCCGAGAACACTGCCTTAGTGCTCTCCGGGATTTCAAGCTGCCTACATTTCCAATTAGTTAAAAGACGTGAGCTAAAAACATAAAATTCTGAGATTGCTCTTCCTTCCCTTGTTTAGATGGGCTTTTCTCTTTTTTACAACAAATAAAATCTATAAATCTTATCAATAGCATTCTCCCAAATTGTTATTTATTCTGTTAATTAAAAGTATTTGGCAAATCAATTTCAGCTGAAATTGTAACGTGTTGCCATTATAGGTTTGCAGAGAAAGTATAGATTAACAGTTGCAATGAACAAAGCTACCATATTATATATAATTACTCTAAACTGACAACTGTGTACATACTAAACAAAGTTAACAGGAATGGTCAGTCTGTCTTTTTTCTCCCCTGGGAAACTGTCCATGTTCTCCTAGTTTATCAGAGAAACCTGAAAGAAAGGACATAGGTACCTCTGTGTATTATTATGTTCAATATCATTCCATGTCGTCCATCAATGTAACACCTCCTTGAAGGAACATACCATTTCATACCGAACACTAGTAAGTTATTTTTTCCTTATGTGTCATTTCTCAGCTAAATACTTTAGGGAAAAACCAACACAAGATGTACTGATAAAAAGAACATTCAAGTGGAAAACCTTCTACAATCAGTCTAGGTCTGTTTACTTGTATGCCAAGCAGCCACCTTAAACTGAAGGACATGTAAAGGATATGACAGTTACCTCAAGAAATAACAAGAAACTAATGGGGCACAGTAATACTGAAAAAGTCAATGCTAATGTATGAAATTTCTAATGTAATGCAAGCCAAAATAGATTTTTTAAAAATATTTTAGGACCAATTCAGATGTTAAACTTTGCTAAATGGTAGTGCTCTGTATGGTGCCCATAAGCTTTGCAATTCATTTGCACACATTAAATGGTTGGAGTCATTTGCTGGAGTCAGCAATATACAGTATATTGCTAGTGAACAGCAAATATTAGAGTTTTAACAACTGATATAAGCTCCAAGTAATAATTATTGTTAATATGATATTAAATATAAAGAAAATCAGTTTTAGGAGGATAAGATTTTGACTGAGAAAGCAGAAGAAAGGCACAAAATGTATGTATGTATGTATGTATGTATGTATGTATGTATGTATGTATGAATGAATGAATGAATGAATGAATGAATGAATGAATACTTAGTCTTAAATGTATACATAGTTAACATTTCACCTAAGAAATCCAACTACATTTCTAAGTCTTTGTGCATGGATTGAGGACTAAGAGTAGAAAAACTAAGTGTTAATTATTGTAGAACATAGCTCACACATTGCACTAAGCCATAAAGTGGTTTGTTTACTTGTGATTTAGTGCACTGGGTGAACCCAGCCACTATGGTTTGTAAAACCACATGATTGATGGATTAGCATTTTGCATGAACCCAACCAATAGTGGTTTATTTTACAAACCATGATTAAGCAAACCCATGGTTGTGTGAGCCCAACCTATATGTTTTAAGTCTTATGAAATAGCCACTTGTTAAAAAAAAATACAGAAAAACTGTAAATCCCTAGGCAGTGTGTATTTTCCCAAATACTTGTATGAATATGGGTGCCTTTCATGATATCCTGTACTATAAGTTTAGTTATGAAACATCAATGCCAATTTATTTAAAGGGACATCTATATGTTAGAGCACAATGTGGTATAATATACAACATTAGCGATGGGATGGATGGATGGATGGATGGATGGATGGATGGATGGATGGATGGATGGATGGATAGATAGATAGATAGATAGATAGATAGATAGATAGATAGATAGATAGATAGCAAGTGCCTGGAGGTAGATTCAGGCCAAGTAAGACCCTGATGCTGGGAAAGATTGAAGGCAAAAGGAGAAGAGGACGGCAGAGGACGAGATGGTTAGATAGCAATGAGCATGAAACTGAACAAACTCAGGGAGGCAGTGAAGGACAGGAAGGCCTGG